GCTGTTTAAGCGATGCGTGGTGAATGTATAATGAATATATTAATGAAAATATTACTTTACAGTGTACTTCATTCATTTTTTAGCTTATTATATTATATATTTTAAAATKAACAACAAAAATACTTAAMGTTTAAATTTGATATTTAAGAATTCAAAGGAAATTTCGCATAATTTACAATCTGAAACTTGAATTCGGAATTGTTAATATTATTTTTAGATTATAAAAATTCATTATTTATGACATCTAATATTATATTCAGACGCATACATAATTCCATGATAAATAATATCAACATACTATTATAATATATCCTAAAAACTTATTACCTAWTGACAAGTTTTTGTTTACAAAGTATGTATAGTTCAATTAACCCTGTGGGTRTCGATGGTTCACCATGGATTTTACCACGGACTTAACCTATTAAATAAATTTATATGGTTAAAAATCTAACCCACTWTGATTCAAAATAATAATTAAAATAAACGAATAATTATCAAAATTTGAAGAAAAAAAAATGGAAGAACTTCGTTTTGGTGGGGTGGATAATCTTTTAGAATCTATGAAATTGCTCCAAAGTGCAAAAAGAATTATATTTTTATTTATTTACATTTTGACAACTTTATATATGGGTGTAGAAAAATGGTGCTTTTACTGCAGGGTTAACTATATTTCAATAACTATAAGTATTTAATTTTTGCTCAAATACTCAATTAAGTGTTATTCGCTTGTACAATATTTTGTGGCCATTATAAAATCTACAGATAATGTTATGCATTAATTATTAAAACTAGTACAATTAGAACAATGTATTACCTAGGTTAATTAGCATTAATGTATCATATATAAGTAGGTATGTAATTAGGAAGAAAAATGGATCCATCAATTAATATTGTGATAACAATATAATTGTGCTTACCTATATTTAACGAATAACGATTAGCATTTTCGAATTTAGAGCAAGCAAACCAAAACAAAGATTTAGATGTTAAAATAATTGTAATAGAAATTTTCTTTATGTTCGTAATAGCATGTGTTTAGTTATTTGTTATTTTCTTACCGTTATATTAAGGATTTTGTATGTTTTCTTCCAATTATTTAATTGCCACACGAGTGTATKTAACTATATTATTAAAATTTTATAAAAATGTATGAATTGTATGTTTGTGCAAAAAATTAACTATTCTAATGTGAATTGACACTTTATCAAATCAATTTATTATCTGCAGTTTATACTTCGATCTTTTTGCCCGGCAACAAACCCAGGACACATGTTTTTATTTAAATTAAAATACATAATTTAAAGTCATTAGTATTTAGATATATGTTTTTGGCGAAAATAAAATATTTTGTTTTCATATTATATTATAAAACCAATACCAATGATGGGTATAAAATTGGTAACTTTAAGCGGACATCATAATAAACTACCTATACTCCCTTCAACACTTATCTTGTTTGTCCTTACTCAATAAATAAAATAAAATATCCAATAATATCCTACCTGAGTCTAACCTAAACACATTTGTACCAACCAGCTTTTAATGTTTATTAATAATAATATAATAATAATGGCATGTATATAATATACAAAGGTATGTCGCCTGAATGTAAAATATATTTAAATATGTTGCTTTATATCAGTATATCCTTCAGACT